AAGTCACACAACTGGGTGCACAACAGCAATTTGCCTATGCTAACTTCTGAACTTGCACCAATTTGCCGACAAGATTTTCAGAAATATATTATGCCACATGGTATAACTACTAGGATTTTGGCCATTATGTTTTCTTTCCTGTTTAGAAAATACATATGAGGATTGATTACACTGCAACTTTACAACTGTAAGGTACTGTAGGTGAGGCTGACTAGGGGTGAGGAAGGGAAAACAGAGGCCGAGGACAACCAGTGAGTTAAGTGGGGAATATCAGATTTCTAGATGCTAGCTGACTTTGAATCTAGAAAGGCTTCAACTTTTTTTAAAAAGTGAAAGCTGTAATGTGTAGGAAATAGAATTCTATAGCCAGCACTACATCCCATAGCTTTCAGTACTTATCCTGAATTGCAACATGCACATAACCTTGATATGTTGGGAAATGGCTCTGAATTTACAAGTCAAAATTAACATCAGTGTCTCTGCACTAGAGAGAAATGGGAAGAAAGACCAGTTACTGTTACATTTGACACCATTATTATTGTTTTTAAAGTGAATCATATTAAAACAAATGTCAGGCTTTGGGTAAGATATATGTTGGCCTTTTTCATGGAAGTTATGGGATACCCAAGTTTACTTAATAAATATTTTTATTGTATTTTTCTACTTTTCTGTCCATTGCAACCAGAGTGATTTATTACAATATGTTCCGTTCATTTCACCTTATACTCTCTAACATAATATTAATCTAATCTATTCTACTTAAATCGATGTAGATTTCATCCAGGCATAAAAAGGTTCCCATTTATTATTATCCAGTCTATCATTTAGTGTATCTGTCAAAATATCCATTTCTGTTAGTTCCAAAATCTTCTCAATAAATTCCTTCTTTGTTAGCACCTTTGTAGTCTTCCACTTACTGGCATATAAAATTCTAACTGCAGTTATCAGGTGTAAGGTCAAGTAAGTCTTTGTTTTTTTTTCGAGTGTAGCTGGTAAAATATTCAATAAGAAAATTTCTGGTGTCAAAGCAATTTTAACCCCTAAACTTTCCTCTATCATTTCATGAATCATTTCCCAAAAGTCCTTGGCCCTACTGCACTACCACCACATATGACAGAAGCTCCCTACTTTTGACATTTCCAACACTTATTAGAAACATTTTATACATTTTTGTTAATTTCTCTGGTGTTACATACCATCTGTAAATCATTTTGTATATATTTTCTTTTAGATTTATAGATTTAGTCATTTTAATGTTTCCTTCCCAAATTTGTGACCAGGCACTTGGCTCTATATTATGACCTATATTTTGACCCCATTTTACCATGCAATCCTTCACAATTTCATCTTCCATTTTTTGCTCCATTAAAGTATTATATAAACCTTTAATCAATTTTTCCTCTGAGTCCAGCAACCCCTTATCCAAAGGTATTTTGTCTTTCTGAAACCCTGTAGTTTTATCTTTTGCATATTTTGATTTCAACAAGTTTATCAACCACCAATCTAAGATAAAACCTTGTTCTGCCAGTTCATCTACTGTATGTTCTTTAGATTAAAATCACTCTCTAATATCTCAGCATATCTCCTGTTTGTCCCTTGAAATGCTCTTGCCAGATCAGATAACGTTTCTAATGGAGCTGCCCATAATGGTATCTTTCTATAATGTTGTCCCTTAACTATCTTCAAAACCCATAACTGAGCTCTCCTGATCAAATGTAAATTAATACTCTGGTTTCTCTTCAGATAGCATAAATCTTTCACCTTTTACTAAAGATTTCCATGGGGATACCCAAGTTTAATCCCATTAGGCCCATAAAAAATAAAAACCAAAAGGGAAAAATCTGGCCTCAATGAGATGCTCAAGATTAGTTTACAACTCAAGTCTGTCTAGAAATCTAAGGAATTAAAAAATGGCACGGAATAGGGGAAGAGAAGAACAAAGGAGGCATTTAAAATCGGCTTCTGTAGCATCATGGAAAAACAGCTGAAACACCATCAGATTATTTTTATTTGTAAAATCTCTTTTCATGGGCATATTGAACCAATAGGCAATTGCTTTAATAGTGAGCTGTCTTCATTTTGGCTTTTGACACAAATCTCCATGAACATCTTGCTCTCCACTTTCAGTAATGGTATCAGGCACTGTCCCACAGAAGCCATGATTCCAAGAACAAGCACAGAATGCATTTTTGATTGTTATAAGACTAAACATGTTATCTGTGAGCTGAGAGTGGGCATGAGGGGAGCATAAATAGAAAACAGAGTTTTTTTGAAAAATGCTCACCAAGAAGTTGGGACAGATGTTTTGAGGAATGGCTCCTAACATTCTCACCTTGGAGAAGGAGTTGTCATGAGATCAGTCTTGCTATAAACAGATCAAAGGTGCATCTCTTCCAGCATTCTATTTCTACCTGAAGCTAGATGGGTGTTCCATTGGGTGTTCCATTGCACCTGGCACTTAAAATTACACCACTCTAATTCTATTCTACTTGACATTACTTTAGCCTACTACTACATGCTGATACAGTGGTGCCCCACATGACGATGATAATACGTTCCGTTAAAATCGCTGTACAGCAAAATCGTCATCATGCGAAAATAAAAGCCCCATTGGAATGCATTGAAAACTGGTTAATGCGTTCCAACGGGGGAAATACCTGCTCATCCAGGGTGGCCATTTTGTGATCCCTGTCTTGCAGAAATAGGTCCGGAAAACAGTGGGGAGCCATTTTTTGATCAGCTGTGTTAAATCATTGTCCAGTGAAAAAATGGTTCCTGAAGCAGGGACCAAATCAACGTAAAGCGAAAAAAACCCATAGGAACCATTGTTTTGGTTACAGCGATCACAAAAAAGGCATTGTCAAGCAACTTCATAGTTTAACGGGGTAAACGTCTAGCGGGGCACCACTGAACACTTCTTATCTTTTCTGAATCTGTTGAATTGTTTTTGAAACCATTTGAGTAATCAAACATCTTTTCAAAAAGTTAGTTCAATATTGTCTGAGGGGGTACCTCTTTTTGTTGGTGCACAACATATTGCCAATCTTAGTTTTACAAGTTCTACAATTATGAAGGACAGAGGGAAAATCCTTCTTTCACTGCATTGGCCATAAACCTTTGGATTTCAGCAGCATCTCCCTGTTAGGCATCAGTCTCTCCCTGCTACTAATCAAATCTCCCCTCCACTGCAAGACTGAAGACCCTCCAGGACCATATCACACAGAAGGGTGAAGCTACAAATTTTTGGGTTTTCCAGATTCATTTTCTCTAACTGCTAATTGATTTGCCCTTGTTGACTGTTTGCAAATACAGTAAAATTAACTAAAAATCTGAATGAAAATGCATATGCATTTTTGTGCATTTTCCTAATTTAGTTTACACTTCTGTGCACATTTCTAAACATTTTTCGACCCACTCTTCCTAGCATACACACTTTCTTCAAGTGTTGTTCCCCTAATGCAGTGGTTCTTAACCTGGGGTTTTCAGGGGGGCCATGGAACGAAAAGGGGAGACACAGGGGCATAGGAACAGAAGTTTTCAGGGGGGCAATGGAACGAAAAGGGGAGACACAGGGTCATAGGAACAGAAGGGGGGGCGATATGGAGGCAATGGAGCAAGCCAAATATGAGAAGGCGGCTGCAGCCAAGGTGCTGGCAGTGGATCCAGCAGGTGGATCCGGAGCAGCTGGTGCTGGCAGCAGATCTGGTGCTGCTGCTGCACCGCCACCGCCGCGGGAGGACGGCGATGATAACTTCCTCAATGGCTCAATGGGGCGATTCTTTCAAAAAAGTTAAGAACCACGGCCCTAACGTACTGCATTCTGGTTTAGAATTATGAACAGGATCACAAAAATTCAAAGACATTTTGATTCACTATGCAGCTGCATTCTGATTTGCTTACATGACTGGCTGGTCCGAACTCAATAATGCTGTTTTGTTGTTGTTGTTGCTTTAATAGACAAGACTAATTTGTCCTTTTTAATTTACCTTTCAATCCTCCCCCACAAAGCCTACCATAAACATTCTGAGACTGAGAAACTAGAACTACCAAGAGAATTCTAAATATGCTGAAACATAGATTTATACAAAAGCAACACCTTACATGCTGCCCTATTTTCTTTTTCATGCTTGTTTCAAACACCGTATTTTACTTTTTCACCAATACACTACACCAAGATGCTGGTGTTAAAATATTTTGCTGGGATATTAAAACAAGGTTGAGGTTCAAAGAACTACTCTGGGCACAGTATATGCCCAGGCATAGCCAGTGAAATTTCTGTATCTGTTGCTTTGAACAAAGGACCCTCTGAGGCATCATGAAATGCTGTTGAACATTCCCTTAGCCTCAAAGTGGTTTCTATGTGGCATGAGATATTGCTGCTTGAGAAACAAAAGTCCAAAGCTCCCTTAGAGATGCAGCTTCGAGGTTTTTGTATTTTTCTGGATTGGGTGGGGGGAGAATCCACTTGAAATATATTGTTTTTTTTCTTCTAGTTACTGACATGAGGCAAAGCAAGCATCTGCCAACAAGTAAGCTGTGCCCGGATAGATTTCAACCTTCTTTTAACCTCAAGAAAAACTTGGAGCACACTGCTTTAGATTGGCATCATTTCTTGAAGGGTAACAAACCTAACCTTCACAAGACGAATGGGAAAAAGCAAAATGTAGTTGAGTAGCCTCCAGTGACTATCCATTGTGTCTTCCTTTCAATCATTCATTTGTGAAGAATCTTAGCAGTTGTTGTTCAGCAGCCCTGCTCTGTTACAGCTTATTGGAACATAAGGATGCATAAGGATACCATGTGTAGCAGCTTAAAGACTTAAAAAAAATACCGTGGAACAAGTTTGCAGAAGTAAGAACATATGTTATCAAATGCATGAAGATGTCAGTACTGAATGACCTAAGAATAAGGGGGTATTCTAGCATACTGAAAATGAAATATAAGGGAGCACAATATCCTAGAAATAGAAAGAACACACATGAATCAGCTGATGGACTTACCCAATCACTGGGCAGCACAGGCTTCTATATGTTGATAGCAGATCTGATCTGAAAAGTAAATAATATATTTTACTCAAGGTTGTGATTCTTGTGGGACAGAGTGAAATGTGAAAATTGTATTTTAATTAAGTGCTGCAGGCCCCTGCTTGGAATGGGTGTCAAGAGAAAGAAGTCTATCCCAGTTGAATCAATTAAGTTAGTACCCTGTTTCCCTGAAAATAAGACAGGGTCTCATTTTTGCTCCAAAAATGCATTAGGGCTTATTTTCAAGGGAAGTTTTATTTTTTCACGTACGACAATCTATATTTATTCAAATACAGTCATGTCATCTTCATCTGGTTGCTGCAGAATGGTGGAAGGCAGGGTTTCACTTAACTGGGGCTTATTTTGGGGGTAGGGCTTAAATTACGAACATTCTGCAAAATCATATTAGGGCTTATTTTCAGGTTAGGTCTTATTTTAGGGGAAACAGTACTTACTGTAACATTCTATAGCACTACAGTAATGAAATAAGCTTCTATAATGCTAATGCAATGACAAATCTAATTGGCTAAATCATGTCCTGACAACATTACATTTGCTACATAATCTCTAACTGTCAGGGAAGCTGTAATGTTAGTGACTAAAATCCTACCAAGATGGTAGGAGAAATTGCAGACTTTTTCACAAGTCCGCAATGTGGATTTGTGACAAAGTATGAAAATATGCTTTACCTTATTCATCTCTGCTGTAATTACAGATAACATTCAATGGAGTTAAAGGCAAAAACAAGCTGGATAACAGTCTTTCTGACAAGCTTGAAGCTTTGATTGTTGGCAGAAACACAACCCTGGGGCCAAAGTCAGAGTTAAGTAACCTTTCATAGACGTCGGCATAAAAAACTCTACCTCCCTGGAAAAAGCATTTATGGGCATTAAAAAGGATTGCTGCATGCTTTTGAGGGGTTGGAATGCATCCTTTAGCCCACAAAGTTAGTGGCAAGAAAAAAAGCAAAGAGTTTGACCTGAGTTGTAAGTAGTTCTGGGAGGAAGTTGTCAGATTCAGAGAAGGGCGGTAGAGCATGCAAGCGGGAAATCTCCCTCCTGCTACTGAAGATGACATTCCCTCCAGTGGCAATGTGACACACACCTGCCACACTATCCTTTACATTGTGAGGATGACGTTAACCTTACATTTAAAAGTTCAGCTTTTCAGAATTATTTACAGAGTATTTCCTGTTACTGAAATTAATGTTGAATTAGATGGGAAATGCATCTCATGTTGTTGCACATACAGGAACTGTCTGCAAAATATCAGATTCAACTCTTTCTATCATAACTGGGCTATAGTGTATCATTTGTACAGTTCATTTTGGTAGGAGATTATCACAAAAGCTGCATTTTTGTCCTATGGAAAACAAAACAAAAGACTAAAGCTACATAAAAAGACAGTTACGTTATCCATGGGTTTCATTTAATTCCAGATACATTCTCAATGGCAATATTCATTGTTCCATTTCAGTCATGTTTACATATTTTTAAATATTTTATACCACATTTGACACAATTATATACAATCATATAACAAACACTTAAAATAGATATCCTTGCAAATGAATAAGTGAAGGTTCTTACAGTAGTCTTTTAAAAACTTGATGCTATAATGTGTAAAATTAAAAAAACATGATTATGTAAATCCTGCTAAAGTCAATTGTGATGTAGCACCATTGATACAAGTTACAGAAGCTACCGTAACTAGCACTAAGTTTCAGTACTTTCAAAAGGAATTATGTTGGTTTGGAGATAAAATATTAAGCTGTAACTTCTAAAAACAAAGTAATTCAGCTACCATGATGAATTGGTGAGAAGAACCTGTTCTCATACTTAGTTTATTTTAAAGATTTGCCCAGCAGCAAAACTAACATTGGGACTAAGAATACACACCTGTTTGTCTTTTGAAACTGTTTTGGTTCATATCATATTCTGAGACTATATGATATGTGATATATTTTTCCTGAAATGTTATTGCCTTTTGTTAATGAATAGTAACTTGAAATGCAATATTGAAAGGCTATTACACTTCCTTTACTGTCTTCAAAATGAGCAGATATTAAGATGTTTGTGATATGCAGATATATTTAAATTTAATCAGCTGGTTGAAATGCAGGTGATTAACCAACTAACAATTCTTAATCAGGCAAGACTAATGGCAATATGTAATTGGTGCATTTGAACTGCTCTGTCAAACAGCACCAGTAATTGAATCTTCTGAAATTAAAAAAGAGAGAGCTGTCATTCTAAGCAGCTGCTATATTGTGTGGGGTATTTCTGTGTCCTGTTGCTTTTAGATACCATGACTGTATTCTTTTTCAGAAGTTGCCTTCCTCAAACATAACATCTGGACGACATCAGAGTGATCTGCTCATGTGAGCAATGTAACATCAGAGTAACATACTGGTATAAAAATTACATTGCTTCCATGAGCAGGAACTTTGCAAATTCCTTTCCATGGCAGGGAGCTTCTTGTGGTCTTCTGTGAATATATTCTTCAACATCACACTCCACATATGAGTAGTGTTCCCTAGGAGTACTTACCTGAATGAATAGGCTGGCTTTGAGAGTATAAGAGCTCAGTTTGCATATGTGCACAATGACCCTTTCTATGAGAAAATGCTTTCTCACAAACATTCACTACCATTAGTTGTGCTGCTTTGATGGCTTTACAAAGGGGTCAGGGAAAAAAATTCACAGAGAACAGATTTATTAATGGGTACCATTCATCATGTTTTGCAGTGGACAAATCAGTCTACTTAAAGTCAGGTCACATGTTCACTCTCAAGTCTGTTACATCTTATTTCTATTGTGATTTTATTTTTAATGCATAATTTTAAAGCATATTTTTGACAAATTAGCATTTTAGCCATAAGTGCACAATGTATATGCATTTTTTTCTTTTCTTTTCTTTTTTTTACAGTTTTTTGAGCCAAGAGCTATATTACAACCTTGGAAAGGTATGGATACTGAAAAATAATTCTGTTCCAATATGCAGTGGAATACAAGAAGCTGGGTCGATGGGCATAAACATTTGGACTGAGCAAAGTTCCCAAGCTTTGGTAGCATATGAAGGATATTTGGCAGAGCGGAAGATTCAGGGAACTTCAATAAAAAGAGTGACATTGATAATTGTTCCTATAGAGTTCCTTCTGGCAGAGCAGACAGGAGGAAGAGAGCAGTATTGTTTTAATGGCCAGCTTATAAGTTTCTGAGAGGCATCTACCACGTTAAGAAGCAGAAAAATTAGTGCCTCCGACATCCAAACAAAAGCCCTGAAATCCACACACTTGGTACTCCCCATGCAAGCACAGACTAATGTATTTATATAGGGTATATATGGATAGAGATGATGTCTGTTTACATAATGATAATTGCTTGAAAAAGAATGTTAGAGCTTCTGACTTAGGACTTGGGCACAGCATTATCTGAAATGACTAAATATTGGTGCATGGAGCCCATACTGCAGGCAGGCTGCTTTACATTTTCTTGAGAGTTCTTAAGTTTACCGTGGTGTGGAGGGAATCTCTCCCTAATTTGACATAGCGATCCACCGCATACAAACGGCTTGCTGTGCAGAGACAGCCACCACAGGGGGTAATTTAAAGTGGCCTCCAGGTGGAGGCTGCTTTCATGAGCTCTGGCCCTAAGCCTTGCAATTCAGTGTAGAATAAAAGAACACAGTGGGAAGCTGGGCTGGTACGTCAGTCAAAAGAAAGACTTTGGCTGTGCTTTAGGGAACAAATGAATATTGTAGTGGAAATCCACACATCTGTATATCTTCAAATGAGACATTCTGGGGGAACACATTTCCCCAGAAATAGTACGTCCATTGATTTCAGGGTTATCCCATTTTGAAATCTGAATCTGATTTTATTTTCCCAATATGTGGGTGAACACATCGTCCTTTCATAAATCTGAACAACATGAGATGTTTACTCTTGTTCTGAGATGGCATGATGGTATCGTAGTCACACTTTTTGGGCACATATGTAAAAATGGACCATGTCTTAATATTATAAAAAAATAAATATGGCCGTGGGTGTGGTGATGGTGACGATATGCAATGTGATGCATTCTTGCAATGGCTCCAATTACCTATCCGCAAATGTAGTATCTTTCTTCCAATATATTTTTTGTAGTTGCAGTCCTACATAGTCAAGTAAACCTCATTTAACTCACTGGGACTTCTTTCTGACTAAGCAAACGTAAGATGAACTATAAGTCATGACTATAAGTCACCTATTTGTACGGCAGTTAGACAATATCTGCCCTAAATTCATTCTGCTTCACAAGAAAATCAGTATACCTTCCTTCTTTGTACTGAATTCACTATCAGGTTTTGGCCATCAGAGTATGAGAGTTTTTGTTTAACTGTCTCCTTCTTGAATTCTGGACCGCTGCACCACCATGTTAAATCTGAAGATTACTAAAATTAAGAGACTTAGCCAATTGATGTTATTTTATTAATTAATTTATTAAATTTATACCCCTCCCATCTAGACCGAAGTCTACTCTGGGCGGCTAACAATAATAGATAAAATTAAAATAATATAATAAAAAATAAATTTATAGAAATTTAAAAAAAGAATAGATATTTTTAAAACAATGCAACATTTTACAAAAATGTGTGTAGTGCAAGGAGGAGTAAGGTGATCACTCATTCAGAACTATTACTTTTTTCCATGGATGAAAATAGCTAATATTTATACAGTATCTCTTAAGTTACACAAATGGTTTCTAACAAAACCAGGGGGGGAAATCCAGTCACCTTCCTGATTTAGCACAGGAACAACAGCTGCTACTTACACAGTAAGTTTTCCAGATGTCAGTCTGCTATGTGGAATAGCTGTATAATTTCAGGAAGGAAGGGATATAATTACATTATCAGATGATGTTGTCAAACACTCCACATTTCACTGCACTGATGTGGACACAGCTGCAATGCACGTCAGTAGTCCAGCCTTTATACGTGTTGAACTGGAAGCCTCTCAGGTAACTGACTGGAGTTTTGGGAGC